TATGTCTTTTCTTCTATTATATATTTCAACAGTTTGGATATAAAAATCTCCTGATATCATTATAATACTTTTATAACTTAATTCCCAATGGATTCCGCTACTCTTTGCAGTAGATTACCCAATAGATTCTCTTGGGTTTTCCAAGTATATAACCATATGATCTAAACATAGCCAAACATTTTCTCCCCAGCATTTTTAGACCACATTTCCACGTCTAATCGCTTTGGCAAGTCCTCTTGGATGACGTGAGACACTAGTGCTGAGAGCGGGCATCCCAGTCTTGACACTAACCTCAGTAGGGCCATCTCCAGGTTTCTCTGGTAAACAGAAAGCTGGGTTTGGGGTGAGAGATATAAACTGCATTTTATCACGCTATGGAGTAACAACTGATTCCTATCTTCTTGTACATTAAGTACATGTGTTAAATTTTGTCACATGTTTCCTTATCATTTGACAATCACTGAGTTATATTTGGGCTCCTTGAATTTATCATTTATATCTGCAACCCACACATGGAAATGATTCTGATTTTCTTTGCTAAGGAGGTGCATTGTTCTGGGCATAGAAACACGACCAGCCCCCCAAGTAGAGTTACTGTGGAGACATACTGACCAGTCTCAGCATATTAGACCTTTTCTACGTTTAACTTGATACTTACAAAACACCTAGATGCTCCGGATTTGGGGCAGATAAAGACAAGATTATAAAGCTACCACAACATCAGCAAGGGTGAAATATAAAGGATGGGGTGACAGAGTGGCTGATGGGGAGGGAGGCAGTAGCATAGGAGCCTGGGAGAAGGGACAAAGCAGCAGGGCCTTCCGGAGTCAGCGGCAGACGGCTCCGATTTCCTCCAGTCCCACCCCTCACCTGGTCCCTGGTCCCAGGACGGGCCTGGCTCAGGGATCACCAGGGCCCAGGCAGGACCCCTTTATCACTTTCTCCCCGGGGTACCCATTTGTTTTTAAACATTTAATGTACTTGACTATACCAAATTAACTGTCCTTAAGGATTAACTGTCTTGCCTTTTCAACAAAGTCACTTGCAGCTGCCAACCACTTTCTGGTCGGAATGTGCTCATCAGAATGGCCATGCTGAGCAGGTGCGCTTTCAGCAGGAAGCTCAGAAACTTGAGGCGGCTCATCGGGGATAACTGAACCGTTCTGGAAGCCCGTGTGAAATGTTGACATCAGTCGGCATAAAGTTTATTTCTTTGTTCCTAGATCTCTGAGGACACAGGAACTCAGGGTGAGCATCTCATCTGGTGTTGGACAAGAAGGCTGGGGCAAGGTGCATGCCTACCTCCACGATAAATACAAGAACACATCAAAGAGTTGAAGGAAAATGTGTATTATGAAAAAACGATGGGTGCCAGTGCTGTGGCATAGTGGGCTAAGCCGCTGCCTGCAGTGCCAGCATCTCACATGGGCACCCGTTCACGTCCCAGCTGCTCCTCTTCCAATGCAGCTCTCTGCTGTGGCCTGGGAAAGCAGAAGATGGCTCAAGTCCTTGGGCCCCTGCACCTGCGTGGGAGATCTGGAGGAAGCTCCTGGCTCTGGATAGGCCCAGCTCTGGCCATTGTGGCCATTTGGGGAGTGAACCAGAGCTCTTCCAAGAGCTCTCTCTCTTTCTCTCTCTTTCTCTCCCTCTCTCTCTCTCTCTAACTCTGCCTCTCAGATAAATACATAATCTTTAAAAAAACAAATTATGATTTTAAAAAAATTGCACCAAAATAAACTTAACTTTTCTATTTATTTTAAAATTGTTTATTTACTTATTTCAGAGACAGAGACAGATCTTCCATTTGCTAGTCAAATGCCCACCATATGGCCGGCGACGTGGCTCACTAAGCTAATCCTCTGCCTGCGGCGCCGGCACCCCAGGTTCTAGTCCTGGTTGGGGTGTCGGTTCTGTCCCAGTTGCTCCTCTTCCAGTCCAGCTCTCTGCTGTGGCTCAGGAGGGCAGTGGAGGATGGCCCAAGTCCTTGAGCCCTTGTACCCGCATGGGAGACCAGGAGGAAGCACCTGGCTCCTGGCTTCAGATCTGCACAGTGCACCGGCCATAGTGGCCATTTGGGGAGTGAACCAATGGAAGGAAGACCTTTCTCTCTGTCTCTCTCTCTCACTGTCTAACTCTGCCTGTCAAAACAAAAACAAAAACAAAAACAAATAAATAAATAAATAAAAATGCCCATCATAGCCAGCAGTCAGAAACTCAGGCTAGGTCTGCCACAGGGGTGGCATGAACCCAACTACTTGAGCCATCACTGGCTGCTTCCCATGGTGCACATTAGCAGGAATCTGGAATCAGGAGCAGAGCCAGTACCGGAACCCAGGTGCTCCGACATGGCGGTCCCAGCCTGCATCTTAAATGCAGGGCCAAATGCCCGACTCTGAGCTCATCTTTAATTCCATCTTCCCCATGAACTTTTTGAAGTACCCTTGGACTAGAGCATTCTCTCAAGCACTTCTCTAAAGTTTCTGTCTAAAAAGTTTTGTTTAAAAAACAAAAACAAAGCCAATGTTTTCTCAATTGAGTAATTCTCTGTTCCAAGAAAAGCAGAGAGATAGGAAAATTTGTGAACGCAAATGGTGAGCATATTGCGAGAATAAGGTAAAAGGTTTTTTGTGACTAAACTGGCTTCTCCTTCTGAAGTGACGTTTTCATGGGTGTTTGGAAGAGTACAATGCTGGCCGTTGCCGCGGCTCACTAGGCTAATCCTCCGCCTGCGGTGCCGGCACCCCAAGTTCTAGTCCTGGTTTGGGCGCTGGATTCTGTCCTGGTTGCTCCTCTTTCAGTCCAGCTCTCCGCTGTAGCCCAGGAAGGCAGTGGAGGATGGCCCAAGTGCTTGGGCCCTGCACCCACATGGGAGACCAGGAGGAAGCACCTGGCTCCTGGCTTTGGATCAGCGCAGCCCATCGGCCCCGTAGTGGCCATTTGGGGGGTGAACCAATGGAAAAGGAAGACCTTTCTCTCTGTCTCTCTCTCTCACTGTCTAACTCTGCCTGTCAAAAAAAAAAAAAAAAAAGTACATGCTTAACAGAGCTAACATCAGGAAGTGAGGCCAAGGCTCTTTCTGCTGTGGGGAGCATCCAACTCCCAGGCCAAACCCAAACCAATTACTTGCGAGACTCTGGGGGGTAGGGGTGAAATTCAGACATCAGTGATTTCTTTTTTAAAAACTCCCAGATGATTCTGATGTTTAACCAGTGCTCAAGAATCTTGCCACTCAAAGTGTGGTCTTCGGACCAGCAACGCTGGGATCAGTGCGGGCTTGTCAGGAACGCAGCATCTTGGCCTCCCCTTGGACCTTCCGATTCAGAATCGATATCCCCAAGATATTTCTGTGTGTAAGGCAGCTAGAGGCGCAGTGTTCCTAAAAGTGCCGCCTGGGACCACCTGCCTCCAGCTCACCAAGGGGATGGGAGGGTGGGGAAAGCAGATCGGTGATGAAGATTCTGTGGGTCTGGGGGTGGGACCCTGGAATCTGCATGCTTCATGCAGTTCCAGGTGATCCATAAGCCGACTGGTGGAGAACGGCTCCCGAGAGGAAAGTCAGCCCTATGACGGCTGCCTTCTCCCGGCCTCATGGAAATTTCCTCAGTGACTTGAAAAGGTCAAAACACACCCAATGCAGGTGGGGGATGAGCTGATGATACTCCCTAAAAGTCTCCCCTGCTCCCCAACTTGTAACAGGGCTGCTGGGGGCACTGCCGATGGCCTAGAGTTAAAGGAAGCTTTCAGACGACCCAGAAAGGAGTCTCTCCATTCCACGGGTTGGTGACTAGTCAGGTGGCAATCTGAAGACAAAAACTCTACCCTCCACCCCAAAGCAGGTTAAAAATAGAAAACGTTGTTGACCTGGCTCATCCCTTCTTGAGAATTTCAAAAGCACTTTAAACGCGGAAGAGGCGAGACAGAGGGGTGAAACCCCCCAGTAAGGTGTTTTTCAAATTTTTGCTGAGGTCCAGATTTTAAAATGACAATATAGGTTTCAAAAATGAAGCCAGGATGGAACACTGTCTCTCTCAAGATGCGGTAGAAGCGCGCAGCACTTGGATGCAATTTAAAAAACTGCAGCTGGTGGTAGGTATCTAAAAGCTTCTCTTACTGAAGCTTTAAGTGGATTTACCCGAGATTCCAAAGCTCCACTGACACCTGATTCAAGATGGCAGAGCTGGCCGGTGACACGGTTCACTAGGCTAATCCTCCGCCTGCAGCGCCAGCACCCCGGGTTCTAGTCCTGGTCGGGGCGCCGGATTCTGTCCTGGTTGCTCCTCTTCCAGTCCAGCTATCTGCTGTGGACCGGGAAGGCAGTGGAGGACGGCCCAAGTACTTGGGCCCTGCACCGGATGGGAGACAGGAGGAAGCACCTGGCTCCTGGCTTCGGATCAGCGCACTGCTCTGGCTGTAGCAGCCATTTAGGGGGTGAACCAACGGAAAAGGAAGACCTTTCTCTTTGTCTGACAGCCAGGAGCGATCCCCGCAGGACGTGGGTCCCGGACAAGCGAGCGTTAAGGTCTGGGCTGACTGTTTTCAGGGCAGCGCAGGCCGTTAAGTCGGCCATCTCGTGGGGTGAGCCGAGGCCAGGTGAAAAGCCAGCCCGCTAGACGGTTAATGCCCTCTGTGGAGGGAGCCTGCACGCTTTCAGGAACCTCCATCCCTTCAGAGAGCCCAGAAGGTCGCCGGGGCTGCGTTCACACCAGGTGGCAGCGGAAACTGGTCAGAAGTTGGGACGGAAAGAAGGACCTTAAAAATACCACCTACGCACACCCTCCCCCCCACACACCTGCAGGCTCAAATGCTGTCAGAGGTGCGAGAAGCCTACTCCCCCACCCCACCCCCCAACAGAAGAGGAAACTGATGCCGGTGCTTGCCAAAGCGCCATCCCCAGCCAGACTCACAGCCAGGGCCCTCTCGACGGCACCTCGCCTCTTGGCCAGGGGAGAGGAGGGCGCCGGACGCCCCCTGTCGCACACCACCCGCGGGGCCCCGCCTACCGGCACCATGGAGTAGGTCATCATCATGAGCATGTCCTGGCTCTCGGCGCGGAGGTGCGTCGCGGGCTCCCCGCCATGGCTGCGCTTGTTGCGCGCGGCGCTCGCCGGGTCCGCGGGCGGCGCGGACGGCCTGCGCGGCGCGCGGTTCAACTCGGTCAAGAAGGCGCGCAGGGCGGCGTCCTCCCGCTGGTCCCGGCCCCGCTGCGCCTCCAGCGCCCGCAGCGCCGCGCTCAGCCCCCGCCACTGGCACAGCGCAAACACCGTGCCCGCCGCGTTTAGCGCCGACACCAGCGCCACGGCTGCCAGGGCGCCGCGCAGCCCCCAGCCCGCGGGCCCGCGCCCTCGTTCCTCGCCTTGGGCCATGTTCTGCGCGCCTCGCGCCAGGCAGGGCAGGGCAGGGCAGGGCTCGGCTAGGCAGCCCCGGGCCAGAGCAGCCTTTATACGTCTCGGGGCAAGCCGTGGGCTGGTGGCAGCGCCGTGAGTCACGCTGCCCTTTGGCACGTCTGCCGGGGCGGGTTGGGGACAGCAGTGGTGGCGCCCGGGCAGCCCAGAGGGACAGGCGGGCAGCGGGGGAGAGGAGCCAGTGGAGACAGCGCGCGGAGGAGGGGCAGGCATGGCTTGCGCTCCGGGAGCCTGGTTTGGCGGCGGAGTGAACCAGCGAAGCCAAGCCGCCTCTCCCTCCTTTTCTCGCTGTTCTTCCGTGGGCACTGCTGTGGCCCAGACAGGCAGAGAGAGGGGTCAGACTGAGGGGGAGGGCAGGAATTCTTAGGGCCTGAGAAGTCTCTGGATTCCACTTCCCTCTCCCCCAACACTGCCTCTTTGGAGAAAAGGCACAGTGTGCCTAGATGCCAAGGCACGTGCCTGCTGTCCCTACCGTCTGTTGCTGCCCTCCCCCGCCCCCTGCCCGGCTGCTCATCCCTCTTCCCTGGGGGCCACTGGAGACCCCCCCGGTGATCCCTCTCAGGAAGGGGGTGGGCAGGGACAGGATACAGTGGCATTGGAGGGTTCAGTGGCCACCCATCAGAACTGGGAAAGCCCAGGTCTCCTTGGCAAGCAGGAGTCAACCCTAAGGGAGACTTCCAAGGTTTCCCAGGAGACCCACACCTGGAAGGTGGCCAGGTGATGAGGGGGGAAAAAACAAGACAAAAGCCACCTCAGGAATCAGGAGCTCCAGTTGTGATGCCACTCTGCCACCACCCAGCTGGCAGGGCACACCATGCCGCCGTACCGTCGGGCTGCAGGGCTGGAGGGCCTGGCCAGCGTCGGGACCTACCCAGCCTGCCTTGCAGTTGTCCTAGGCCTCCTGATGAACTCTTCACAACAGCTGCCCTGGGGACCACTGTGCCCCTCAGAGACACTCCACCTGCGGTCTCTCCACTCAGTCTTTCTCAGCCTTTCCCAGCCTAGCTCTGCTTCCCTGCAGGAGGCTCTGTTCATATGGGAAGACCCAACCAGAAACCAAGACAGCTGTTTCCGAGGTTCAACACCTCAAGGAGGGGTTATCCCCTGCCATCGAGCCAGCTGGAGCAGTCAAGGGGAGAGGCCTCCTCTGACAGAGGGGAGACCAAGGACGGGAGCTCTGTAAGCATCTAGTCCACACAGATTGGCATCCAGCTCCTGCAGGTGGGTATGTTGGCATGGGAGAGCAAGTCTGGGTGGTAACAGACCTCTTGCTCCCTACTCTCCGAGGTGAGCCAGGGTTGAGCCTCTGAGAACGCCCACGAAAACAGAAGTTACAGGTCAATCAGATGTTCTGAGTCCAGGTCTGGATTTCTGAGTTTGAACAGGAACACTGGCCAACTTGAGTATCCTTAGAAGAGCACCCAGGATGAGGAGGGAGTCAAAAAAGCATGACTGTCCCAGTGGTTCACAAGGGACTCTCACTGTGGGGACATGGATGACACTCAGAGGATGACGGTGACGTCATTAGCTTTGATTCCTCCCAATGATTCTAGCATGCTGTGGCCCAATTGAAGAACTGTCACGTATCCTTCACCTTGTACCTCTATTTCTTCTCATCCAGGTGTCAGGGCCAATGGGAAGAAGCCAGCAAGAGCCAGAGTTGGGCTCAGCACCACTAAGATCTTTGTGTAATTCAGTAAACACTTACCGAGCACTTTCTGTGTGTCAGGCACCATGATGGCTGCTGGAGATACAGAAGTGAACGAGACAAGCAGTTTCCAATGTGAGCAGTTACAACAGCATGGGGCTTTCTGGGTTTGTTTGCTCTTTTCAATCCTAACATTCATTACCATCACTGCAGACTGACCATCTGTCACCGACACCCACCACCACCACCAGAATAAAAGGCTTCCGGGGTTAGAGGCTGCACAGTGTCTCAACCCATCACCCTCATCACACAGCACGCTCCACAGCTTGAAACCACCATTCAGTAATTTCCTGCTGAAGGAGTGCATGAATGGGTGGGTGGAAGGCTGCAGAGTGAGGGTATTGCCATGCAGGACCCTGTGAGGTGGTGGTGGCATGTGACAGAGCTGGTGCCCGGTCCTCTGCATTCCTTGCTAGGCTGTCAGGGAAAGCGTGGTAGCCTGAAATGCTTCCCACCTCAGTTCAAAACCAGTATACAGAGCGGCGCTGAAGCCCATTTGGAGGCAGCCCAGCTGTTTCAGAAAGCTACGGGCCAGGAAACTGCCTCTCTTGAGATGGAGGACTCAAAAGCCTCGTGGCATCTCCGCTAGTGGGCTGGGTGCGTGCAGAGCCTGGGATATTGCACTGGGGCCAAGAGAGAGGTAGAATGAGGGCAAAGGAAAGGGCAAACTCCTCTCCCAGGTTCTTCTCCAACTCCTTTCTGTGTAGGGTTGCAGCATTTGACAAAGAAAGAGGGGTGGAGCATGGTGCCCGGGCCCGCCAGGCAGATGCTGCCCCTCATCTCTGACTCCAAGGGGTCTGCATCCAGGCAGCAGCTTTGCTGTGTGTTCTCTTCCCCCTTCCCCCTGTCTTCTGTCTACAACCCTCTTTTTGCCCCAGAGCTATGCATCAGTCTCTCCTTCACTAGCTTAACTCAGTATTGCCCCCCTTTAAGGCCTAGCTCGGAGCTCCCTTTCTCAGCAAACCTTGCCTTCTGCCAGCTCCAAGTTCTCCCTCGCCCTGAACTCTGCAAGCTTTAGGGGCATGGGCTTTGGGATCAGACCAACCTGAGCTTGAAGCTGCTCTTCAATTGTGTGACTCTGGGTGCCTTGCTCAATGTCTCTAAAGAGACCGACAGGTGTACCTACATCCTAGGCTTGTAAAGTTTTAACAAGAAAATGCATACGAAACACTGGCATGTAGCAAATTCTCAACGTGGGCCAGTGCTGTTGGGTATGGACCGTATGAACTTGCAGACAGGACGGTGCACCTTGTGCTGCCGAACAACTTAGCTCTTTCTCGTTTCTGTTCTGCAGGTCAGGTTGTAGTATGCTTATGGCTGGGACTGGACCCACCTTCACTGCGTCCTTCACAACAGGGACTTGTACTATGAAAGAATATTTGATTAACTGATTAATTAATCACATTCCTTAATGCTTTTTAAGGGACAGGACTTTTAAATGCATGGTCAGCTGGGATTCTTGTCTGAACAGAATGGCTTTGATATGGGTTATGCGGGGCCCTGCAATCTGTGGATTCCTAAGCCTCTCGAAACTTCTTGAGAGACAAACGTCTGCATAGTCTGTCCTGCCTGGTACTTCTCAGGATGGGTGGTACTTTCTACTTGTTATTAAAGAAAAAAGTTAGCAATCAGTCTGGGCTGTTTTGTTGACATAGGGGGCTTCAAATAAAGTAGGGACACAGGGAGATATCTGAATTCTCTTTTCTGAAGACCAAAGCAGCAGGAACATTGTGTGCCATCTTTACAATGAGAAATAGGTTTTTTCCATTAAAAGACAGATGCTTCATTTCCAAAGGTTCAATAGGATGGCCCTTAAGAAATGGTTCCAGCTAGGTAACTTCAGGGCTCTGGAGAATCAAATCCAATTCAAGAATATACTCCAACTCCAGCTCACAGCATTCCCTCCTGATTGTCAAGTGAGTAATTCTCATTTACTCTAAGGCCTGGCACTTGGGCCTTTGGCACTCCTTGATGAGGGTGGCAGCTATGCTGTGACTTCTGATGGGGCTTTGCTGCCTGCCCACCTCACCCTTCCCCCCTGCTGCTGATTACAGAGAAAGTCTGTCTCAGAGTGGCCACCTTGTTTATTTCCCACTCAAGCTGTTTTTGGCTTTAACTCCCCATTCTCATACCTTAACCCCAAGAAATGCCAAGCCACTTAACCACAGCCAGCAATTCTTTTTCTTTCATTTGCTTATTCATTGATCCATTTAGTCAATAAATGCTAACTGGGCACCTACTATCTGCCAGGGACTGTGCAGGATACAGGAATAGAATGGAGAAGAAAGAACAGCATTCCTGCCTCCCTGGAGCCCACCATCGAAGTAGAGACACAGAGAATGACCGCGTCATCACAGACATGCAGGTATAATTCTGAACCAGACTGTGAGATGAATGCTGTAAAAGAAGTGAACATAATTCTCTGAGATCTTGTCACTGAGGAGCCTGTCCTGCACTCGGTGCAGGGGGCGGGGGTTGGCAAAGGCTGCCTGAGCTGGAATCTGAAGAGGAGGAGCTGTTAACTAGGTAGACGGGGTGTGGAGAGGGTTGCAGGCCTGGGGAACAGCATGTTCGTGGTCCAAGGCAGGAGGTGCCGTGGCTTATTTGAGTATCCATGTGAAGGGGGGCAATGTGGCTGCAGTTCGGAGACACTGGGAGCGAGAAGGGAGTGAACACAGGCTGGTGCCAGGGGCCAGGCTTGGAAAGCCTGGAGTTATTAGTGTAAAAGCAATGGAAAGCTACTGAATTTTAAGTGTGTGTGTGTTGGGTGGGGGTGGTAAGAGGGAGGATTGGGTAGAGGGATGAGGATTGGGTAAAGGGATGACAGATCTTCATTTTAGCAGATTATCTTTTATTGCCAGAATTAGAGGTGTCTTCAGTCAATCTCTGACCTCCGTTAGGATCCATCTCCTTTCCAAATGAAATAAGAAGGTGTTGAGTTCTAGAAAGATGCTTCTCTTTCTTTCATCTGCACATATAAAGACAGCTGAAGACCAGAACTTTGAGCAAACATTTAGATTATTGGCTAACCTTGATGCCAGCGGGGGGAGGAGGGATTGTCTGACACCCAGCATGATTTTGCATTTTCTTACAAGTCAGCCTTTAGTATTTCAATGTGACAGCACCAATCAGTTTATCTCTAGGGCTGGGAGTAAGAACAGATGCTATTGCTTTCCCTGTGAGATTATGGCCCTACTTGGGCAGGTAACGACAGAGTCCCACCTGTCAGAGTTCCAGGCCCTTCGATCTGTGGAGCTGTCCATATTGGTAGTAGAGGGGCTGTGTCAGGTCCCCCGTACCAGCTCTGACTCCTTTCTTCACAGCAGACAGTGTTTCCATGCCAGCCCACTCTTCTAGTGCGTTGGAGCCTTATCGCAGTGTGGGTTGTGTGCAAGCAGATGATGAGATGGATCTTGTGGTGCAAGACGTTTATTGGGGATCAGCAACTATGAAGTTGAAAGGGTGAAAGGCAGCAGGACTGGGCAGGGAGAAATCCAACTCAATGCAGTGCTGAAAAGCCTTGGCCAGCTCACGTGGGAGCTCCG